GAGGCTGTAAGACGCCATGACCGAGCGTGCCTCGATAATCACCAGAAAGAAGTGTACCCAAATGACATGCTCTCGACGGTCGAGTTGCAGATTACAAAACAGATAATATCGGGTCTGCGCTCATATACTTATATTCCATTTGCGAACCCCGAAAATGGAGTGATCACATTCCTTCGGCATTCATCACGATATCCATGGGCTTTTAAAATTAAACCAGATTACTGAGATTTTCAGTAAGCCCTTCGAACGAGGTGATTCCTCTTTTAGTTTACAGTCACCGTCCAGTAGAAAGATTATGCCATCTCAAATCGAGCTGTTCCATCGAACTCTAGAAGCAATAAAATCGACCCACGCAAAATTATAGGCCGGTGCCCCATTGCAGCCATGAGAGCAATTGGCTAACTGCCATTCCTACTGGCTGCCCGTGAATATCAGATAGCTTTTCATCTTATTTTGCCTAGGTACTTGAATAAAGAGAGCAACAAATTATGTTTGTGCTCTAACATGTACCTGTTCAATCCATCTCAAATATGCAGCCTTGCCTTTGATCATCGCAGAAGCTCGAAGTACCATGTAGCCATTGCCTGTCTATGAACTCCTCCGAGGCAACTAGAAGCGAGGGAGCGGTGGGTTTACGTCATTGGTCTAAATCTAGTATCAGTAATTGTAATGCAAAATTGGATTTGATTGATTTCTAAGGAAATGCCTCACATTAACATCTTCAGCTGTGCCTCCGAAACTCGCTTGTCATGGCGGAATGCATATATCCCAAGTAGATGATGCAAAGAAGCATTCTGAAGAGCTGTCCTCTCGTTCATGGTCAGAGACGCCATTAACAACGACAAAGAGTCACAGGACATGTGACATAGATTTTGAATAACCTGCGGGTGCACTGTTTTTCACAAACGATCACCAAGGCTTTACTTCGCTCCCCTATTTTATGCATCTACCTGACATTTAGAATCGCCTCGGATCCAACTTCAGGGAACATAACTAATAGACATGTGTCAAAACTAATTTTAAATAATTTTTTTGCTATAATAGCTAAGGATGAAAGTTCACAATGTTTCCTAGGTAAGACAAGTAAACGGAATCTAAGTTCGGTCTTCGAAGACACGCCTCAATATGTCTTGGATGGAAACAAATAAAATATAGAACAACAACGGAAAAACGCAATGAGTATAACAGCAGTTAACACCTCAACTTAAACGCTCATTAAAATTGACTTTCGTTGTCTTGATTTGGTAGTAAGCCGCTAGTTTTGAACATGGGAAGCTTCAATCAGCAACAACAATCTCCTGTCGGTTCGCCGGAATTACAGTGAGAATTCGTATAACGCCCTCTCCCTCTTTGTCTCCTATGGGACCACTTTAAGGTCCATTCACCGCGAGGTCTATAACACCATGAAGACGCAGTCCCCGAGGCAACAGTTAGTAAGGGGCGGTGGACGCTTCGTACATGTGAATAAATGACAGCAGATTGCTGAAAAGTACAAAATGAATTTAATATGACGGTTCAAAAGGACCTGCTTCCGTGCTGCCGCAAGTCAAGACTGCCGCCCACTCCGTTCTCGGCACAGGGCAAAATCAAGCAAATAATCATAATTTTCCAACGGTCACAATGCCAAGAGGCGACTGGAGTCAGCCGGCCAGAGATGGCGCCTCCGCTCCACCACAGGTCAACGAAAGGTCGAGACGGTTGGCCAATTTTCTAATTACTGAGGCAGTAATCGTTCATCGGTTATGGCACAGGCCTCGTGAAAGCCAAAGCCGATTCGATAATAAACGCAACCGGGCGACGTCGAGACTGCCGTTAGATCTTCAGAACAAATATATGTTGGCGCGGATTTCAAGTCAAATACTGATGATTGGAAAGAGTGAGTTAGATTTCATTTCTGTTATTATCTTAACCGCCGGCAACCTCCTTACCTCAAAGAAATTTTGTCTGATAATGGATCAGTTTCATCAAAACATCATAGCATTCATTAAAAAATGCTTATTCGCATGCCAATAACATATGTCAATTTACCGCCACTGATTGCAGCTGCGCAATTGTGCCGCGCCGAGGATAGCTACTCCGTTGAAAAGAGGCAGAACTAGCAACCGAGAAATGATGAGTTAAAACCGCGGTTTGATCCGTGCAATTCTTTTTTAGTCTTTCTGAGGCAGCAAATACGCAGGAAGAAAACGAGGGACTAAACGCTATAATGGCCATATTTCTTCATACATTGTCCTCATAGAGCAGGCCATTCGTTGCTGATTGCATCGAAATAACGGAGATCGTCCAACTTAATAATAAATCCAAGACAAATGGTGAATGTTGTGGACTTGAACGAGATAGCATCAATTGAATATGGCCACTCGCCGAAGGACCATGCGTTTGTCATTAATGAAAGGTTCGATTCGTATAAGATCAGCATTCGCTAAAATTCAGATTGCTTTTTACTACCCACTTAGGTTGAGGAGACTGCGAACTCATCCCTCAGAACACCAGCGCTTCCTTTTATCCGTGGCTGGCTTTTGCTTTATCTTGATGCTGGTGACACATGGACACCTAGACGACCAATGACCGTAAGGCTCTCGTGATCGCCCGACTCAGTTGAATTCCAGTTTTCACTGGTTAGTTGATGCATCGCAGTCCAGGTCGTCAAATCGGCTTGACGTCATAATTGACAGATGTTAGACGAACCGAGTCCCCCGTAGTAAAAGTGGCACGGCAACGCCCGTCGGTACTGTAGCGTACAGTAGTCACCTTCAGCCCTCCAGTCGCTAATCTGGGGATTACAGGTCGGTGCCGGCCAAGTCAGTCAGATTGATGGAGGGTAATGAAATAACTGTCTCAAACATTGCTTTCATTTTGTACAAGGATGATCCGTAAAAGACAGAACAAAAATGACTGTTCAATTAAGATGACGAATGGACAACCCTATACGGTGGGCGATTACCTCGACGGACTGGCGCTGGCTCGCAGTGGGTCACCAAGCGACGGCGCCGGCGGCTTGCCTTCATGAGCGAGTTGAATGAGGTAAACAGCTCAGTATTATTCGGACTGAAATACTGCGCGATTATTGACATTCGAAGGAGTATCGAAGGTGATCAGTGGTTCGGTTGGAGAGCAATGATCAGCAACGCGAGGAACGTCGAGGAGAAGCACGGAAAAATAGAGGAAGAAGAATGCTCTGTCGTTGCCGCCGTATCTAGAAACGGGACGACAGACGTAGGCGCCTAATTATCGTCATTACGAGCTCATTGCTATTCAGACGGATGATGGCCAATTAGCTGTTTTCACCGATGGCCTTTAACAGCTGAACAGGTGTAGAGACGCGTTTTGGAACCTGAGACTCGGTCGGCTGCCGCTGCCCTTCTCCAATTACACGGTCTGTGGCCAGAGGCTTCTGCGACCATGGCCATGACAGCGATCGGCGTTGTGGAGACCAGTTGTCATTGAAGCTTTTGCTTCCCTGCCCTGAAACGACGTCCCCCTCCTCCCAGATGATCATTCAAATGAAGCAGCATCTATCGTACCGCGAAGACCACATCGTTTGCATTTGCGAGGCGCTGTTCCAGTCCAGGGACTATATTGGACTGTGCAAGTTCTTCGATTACCTTTCAGGCTACGATTGCAAGAAGATAAAGCACGCTTCTGTGCTGAGGGCACACCTGCTGTATTTGTTGATCAAGCAGAGATTCAATGACGTGTACCACATCATTGAGAACTGCGCATTCGAGCCGCAGTACCACAGTGAACTTCAAGACATATGGTGGCAAGCCCACTATTCAGAGTTGGAGCAGACGCGCCGTAAACCATTGGGCGCCGTCGAGAAGTACCGCCTTCGGAAGCGCTTTCCTCCACCGTTTACGATCTGGGATGGCCAAGAAACGATCTACAGCTTTAAGGAAAACGCCAGGAAGGTGAGCGAACGATTCCGTACCTCATAGAGAATATTTTAATTTTTGATTTGATGGACTGAATATCACATAGTAAGAGTTATAATTAAAATCAGAAGGTACATTGCAACATGAAGCTCTTTTGCCTTTGGTGATCTTTGATGTCACCGTTGCAGACGCAAGTACTCTATACTTTTCTGTTCTGGGCTGCTAGCACTCGAGTTCTGACGCTGGCCTTCCGCCGTGTCTCCCTTGTGCTTTCCTGATGTTTCGCAGATACCAGTCGAATATCCATTTTGTCAATCTCTTGTCCTTAGTCCTCGCCGTGTGCCCAGCTCAAAGTTTTTTTATATCAGTGGTCTTGAAGATGTCCTTACTATAATCTGTAGGAACAAGGTACAAGCAGATCAGCTTTCAGAGAGAAATTATCCATTTTGCAACGCAATAGCCGACGTCTTATTGCAAAAGTGTTGTAAAGTGAACATAACACGCTTATTCACGTGTCCCCC